AAATAAAGCTGGCCTAATTTTTAGAGGTGTTGCGCAAGAGGCTTCAATGGGAGCAAAGGAACATTTGTAAATGAAGCCTTTCAATAGTTGCCTAATTATGGACTGGATAGCCTAACTTTAGGCACCCATTTTTTAAAATCTTGGCCCATGTTTTTAACTATGTAACTAGTAATTCATAAGGCAGAGATAATGGGCAAATTTCCAAGTGGCTCCTAAATTAGTGCAGGCAAAAGCAACATTTGTGCATACAAGCCAACGTGCACAAATGCGCATTTGTATGGGAAATTCGGGGAATGCAAATTTAGAGTCCATTTCTGAAAATCTGGTTCAATGTATAAAACACTAATGCTTCCAATGGTTCTTTCTTACACGTGCTAGTTCTCATTGCTAGCATACCTTATTCATGTCTCTCCCATCCCATTTCTTTTCCTGTTATTATTTTAATAACATTAAAATATTTAAAACAAAACACTTAAATCTTAATTTGTTCTGTGGTTGACAAAATTGACTTTTTTGTGTGAATAGCACACGGCTGGCTTGCTAAGCATGCACCCAACGCTAGGATAATTGTCCCATATTCACTTGAGAGGGCAGTAACTTCCAAGTCCTAATTGTAGCCATTTAAGTGCACTATTAAACAACAAGACAGAATACAAACAAACAAAACCCAACACCCATTGGCCCAGAGCATCCCCTACCACAGTAATATTTGTTTAAAGGTGTCCTAATTGGGGAGGAAACATTTCCTTTTGCCCCTTCCCCCAAATTGTTCTGGTCCCACAACCATTGGCACTTTCAGAATTCAGAGGATCCTATGGCACCATAAAAGACAAGGCGCATCCACCCATGACCACAGAGGCCCTATGCACCGACTCCAGCTCTAGTGTCCCAGCTCTGCCCCCAGCAGCTTGGCTCCAGTGGAGCTGTGCTACCAGTGCCTCCTCTGGCCACAGCTGCAGTTGGGATCCCCTGCGATGTGGAGAGCAATGGTAGAGGAAATAAAGCCTGGAGCTATGTTTCCTTAGTAATCTGTATGGAGCTGCTGAGGGGGTTAGTGTGACCTTCCAACTCAGGGCCTTCCTCTGCCCCTGCCGCTGTGCAGGTCCCGGATGCCAATCCAGCAGCTGTACTTCTTCAGGGTCATAGAATGGGATGAATTTGGCCTATGGTCTCCAGTACAGGAAGGGGATACCTAGAAGGAGTACCAATAGGGAACAGCCCCCACAAGTGTGGGGCTTGGGAGATTCCTTGGGCCAGCAGTGGTGGTATTTCATTTTGTGCCACAGCTGCCCTAGATTTGTGTGCAGAATAGTCACTGGTGTCCTCAGAAAAGGTTGGCCCTTTCCCTAGATTGTACATATAAAAATAAAGAACATGGGCTTATCCCTCGGATCTCATCTCCAGTCAGACCAGGGCCCCAAGTCGGAAGAGGCAAAGGGGACTTTATGTCCCCTGATCCAAGGCTGGCCATTTTCAATGTACATTAAAACATCCTTAGAGTAGCTCTAACTTGGACCCATCTTCACTGGCCCCCAAAGTACCATTCTGGCAGCAGGCAATCACTTCTGCTTTTAGTCATGCCCACAAGGCTGTGCACCAGAGGGTGGCCAAAGATCTGGCCCCATGCACTGGTATTTATTTGTACTGATTTTTTAAAAACAGAAAATGGATGCTTCTGTTGTGGATAAACTGGCTTTTTACAAGTTAGGGTGATAAGGCCACCGAGCATTGACTGTTTAACCAGGCAGCTCACTATCTCAGCAGCATTGATATCACACAGTAGTGATGACAGTGAAACTTCTGCTAGTAGAAAATGGGCTGGAAATACCATATACTTAAAAAGCTATCTGTCTTTAAAAAAAAACTCACATAAGTCAGTGTTAGGAACTTGCCAATTGGCTTAGATAACTAAATAGTGTTCCCTCAGTATTTCCAGTATTCTTTGCACTTCTACATCCCACTATTTATTGAAAGGTGTACAACAAATATTGAGGTACACTAATCTAGGTCTCTACGAGAAAGCCAGCTACCTTTTTTTTTTTTTTTTTTTTTTTAAAAAGGGCAGCCACTTTACTTCCTTGTGAAAAGATTTTTACAAAGGTCTGATATACATTTGTTTACACAACACTAATCTCAGGACTAACCTTTCCTTTAGGGCATAAAAACAGGGGAAAATAAAACTTTCCACCAATACTGTGAATAAGTTGGTTCTCTATGACCTGGATCCTTCAAACACTTACAAATATACAACTTTACTCCCACTGCAGTCAACAGGAATACTCACGTGAGCATGCACCTAAGTGTCTGAGGGATTGGGGCCTAATATTCTGCCCCTAAGGATCTGATCCTGCTGCCATATAATTCAGAGGCAAAACTCCCACTGACTTCAGTATTGCCTGATTAAGCCCTAAGTGAGATGCAGGCGAGGAACTGAAGTAGTAAGGCAAAACCCACATCTACATCAATTCACCTCTAACAGCAGCAATCTCAAAACATTCCTGGGAACGTAGGTAAAAATAGCAAAATCTGTTTAAAGCAAGGGAACACTGTGGAATATGGAGTCAACAATGCTATTCCGATATACACCAACTCAGGAGCTGACCCTAATTTAGAATAAAATTAAAGATGCTCTGAAATGAACACTGGAATGCCAATTGCTCTGTTATGTTGCCTCATCTGTCTGTCTCCTTAAGGGAGCCATAACTGGCTAATAACAAACCTCAGATACCAACCCACAACAGATTAAAAAAAAAAGGAAAATAAAATAAGATTTTTTTAAACATCCACAGCAAGAGAACCAGCATGTGGCTCCTATAGCACATTCCACAGAAATTGCATTTGTGGCTTTTGGGGTTGACATTAGGTCTATCGTGTAGATGAGGGTGGCTGAAGAGTCCCTTTTTGTTTTTGATGTTGTTTCCTGAAACATTAAGATGTCATGTTAAATAAACTATCTACATACTGGAAAAAGGCTCTTAGCCAAAGCCCTCAGTGCCTTGTTTACAGTCTTTTCCTGCTCCCACCTCTGTATTTTTCCCATCCCCTACACACAGAATGCTCCTCTTACCTTAGTTTGCCAGTTCACTATTCTCCCTGCCTTCAAGTTCCTCCTAAAGACTCATTTCTCTTGCAATGCCCACATAAAACAAACTCCACCAAATATTTTTTTAAAAAATAGATCTTCTGATTAAGACACTAGACGGGGATGCAGGAGCTCTGGGTTCAATTCCCAGCTCTGCCAGACTTCCTTGACAAGTCACTCCGGGTACGTCTAGCACAACAGCTGGGAGGTGTAATCCCCAGCATGGCCAGATGTACACATGCTCGTTCTGCTTGAGCTAGCACCTAAAACAACAATGCGGTCGGGCCAGAGGCTGAGGCTAACCACCCCAAGTACTTACCCCTGGGGTCGGGTGGGACTGTACTTGGGCAGCTACCCTGAGTGCATTAGTTCAAGCAAAGCTAGTGCATGTACGTCTACCCTCGCTGGGAATTACATCTCCCAGATGTTGTGTAGACATACCCTCACGTCTCGCTGTGTCTTAGTTCCCCACTTATACAGTGGGATAATAGTACTACCTTTCTCCTATCCTTTGTTTGTCTTGTCTATTTAGACTGTACAGTCTTTGGAGCAGGGACTGTATTTGCAGAGTGCTTAGCATAAGGGAACCCCAGTCATAGTTGGCTCCTCTGGATTTCCCTGTGTGTCCAGTTTCCCCCACTTCTCTTCTACTGTAAGCTCTCTGGGGCATGGAGATTTTTCATTTTGCATTTAGCTCAGCACTTAGAACATTTTTGGCTCTGAGTCAATAACAAATAAAATAATATTCCCTAATTGGTAGAGCTGGTCAAAACAAAAGGGCTTGAATATTTGTCACTGAAATTTCAAAAATTCCACCATTGAACGTTTCCACCATCACTATTAACGGGATCACTAAGGTCTCTGGAGGGTGTACAGGAATTGCTGGAAAAAAGGGTTCACCTTTTGCTGAGCCCTCACAGAATGCCTTTTGCATGAATTGGCAAACTAATCTCAATGGTCTGTGAACTCAATATCAGATCTGAAGATGGGGAAGATTCCCCTGCTTCTGAGGCAGCCTATTCCACCCTCTATATGCCCTGCCGGGACAGGTATTTTATCCCTGGCTCACGATGATACTTATGAAGAATATTTTTTGTGGACTTTGCATTATAATAAATCGCATCAAAAGGCAGATGCTTTAAAAAAAATGTCTTGAGGGAAGAGACAACTGGCTTCCCTTCTTGGGCTTTATCCTACCTCCCTACTGTAAATTACTGAGTGGAAACTCTGCACAGTCTGGAACATTGTTTAATTGTGCTCTGAATATAAATGAATACTTTCTAGTAGGGGTTTTTTAATGGGACTAGGAGAAAATACTATCCGTGAGCAAGTCTTGGGAGGCAAAGGTTTAGCAGGTCATTCCAGCGGTCTTTCCCTCATAGAGATCAACTATCATTGTATGCCCCTCTGAGACGGCAGTTGAGATATCATTAGATTACATAGCAAGCAGTTATCTGACTAGCTGGAAAAAATGATTGAAGAAAATGTAACGAATTAATGAGGTATATTCCAATCTCATTGCATATGGCTGTTACAGATTACAATCACTGGGCACAGACATGAGAAATGCATCACTTACGATTTATCTACACTGCTATAAAAATCGAATGTCCTAGAGCTTAATAGTGGGTAAAAATAGTAGGAAAGAGGGTCAGGGTAAGTTTATTTGCTATGCCTCCAGTACTTACTTTTCTATACCGCTTTTAGGGAAACGGATTCAGTTTAAAGGTAAAAATCCTTTTCAAGTTCAGAACACTACCATTCTCATTTTCTAATAATCTGCTAGCCTCACTGAAAATAAACATGTTCTCCTTTTGCAGGATCTTCCTGTTAGTAACAGTTGCACATAAATAAAGTTTTCTAAACAAACATCTTATCTTTTTATGGAAGGAAGTCCATTAATAAGGAATTGACGTTCTTCCCTAAAAAAAATACATTTGTTAATTCTTTCCCATAAACTATAGAAATAAACTAACACCCTGAGATTTTTTATTCTATTTTCACAGCAAACTGGATAGTCTGCACGTAGATAAGGTTAGTACTGTTTGCGTTTCTGTATAAACAATGCTCTTGTTGCTACCTTACCATGCAACATCAAATAACTAATCTTTTTTCTCAGGTTTCAACTGCTTCGTGGAATTGTTGGTTCATTTCTGCTGGATTTCTTACATTTATGTTGGATCATCTTCTACAGTATAGGTTGTGAACAGCTTGCCAAACAAGGCACTTCAGAAGCACATTACCCATGTTTGCTGTCTTGAACTGCACAATTGTTTTCACAGAGATGTCCTTTCCCCATCAAAAATAGGACAAAGGAGCACTCAGATGAACTCAAACAATTGATCTGATAATCTGCAGTACTTCAACTTTATTGACTTTGTGAACTAGGCAAGACATTTCTAGTGTCCCAAATTAACACTATTATATGGAAAATATATGATCCCTATTCAATCACACAACTGTTTTCCTTCTACAAAATGTTGTTTTAAAGAAAAAAAATTGTAACAAATGATGTATTTTATGTCACTTTCAACAAACAGAAATATTTGTTCCCAGACAATCCAGAAAGCAGTACTTTTAGTGAAGTGAAAACAATACTGAAATTGGGAATGTTAGCATGCTAAAAAGGTTTCTGTGCTCCAAAATTAAAAATGTAAATGCCATGTTAAATGAAGATAAGCTTGAAACAGTGTAGCCTTTATATTGTAATTATACTTGTGTAAACGTCTTATAAAATGCCATAACATTTGTTCAGAAATATCCATGTTTCATAAACACAGTGAATGTTTAATTTTAGGAGCATCAATTTATTTATTAACATGGAAACCAAAAGGAATTAAAAATATACACAGTGCACCAAACATTGCAACACAAGGTATGTTGCTGATGCAAAACGCATGGGAAGGGATGTTAGTAAAATACACCTATCCAAGTTCTAGAAGAAATCTTAATGTTATGTCATACATATCACATTTTTATCAGAAAAGCTACAATAATGGGAAATTTGGGACTCTCAGTCATAGGTATGAATCATGGAATGTCTGGGGTGTTAGTGTGTGTGTGTGAGAGAGAGAGAGAGAGAGAGAGAATGGAAGGGGACGAGAATCAAAGGAAAGTGATGTCTGTGTGTGCATGGGCTAATCTACCCGAACTAACTTGAATCCACCTCGCCTGGGTAACAACAGCAGTGAAGACAGTGCAGTGAGAGCTTTACAGCATGATAGGGAGCCAAGTATGTACCCACAGTCAGTGCTGGACTTGTACTACTTGCACTGAAGCCCACGCTGCACTGATTTCACTGCTGTTGTTACTGGTGCTAGCTAGAGTTAAGCTAGCTCAGGCAGGCTAGCCTATGCACAGCTTCTGCTGCGTAGACATGACCTTGGTATATCAACACTGTCTATACAGCCTTCTATCTGATAAGGCATTTAAAAGTACAATACTGTTATTTTCTGATCACCTGACCAGGAAGAAGTTACTTCAGTGGAAGGCAGAAAAAAGTAAGCCACTGTAAAAGAAATTTAACAAGATACACAGTCACTGGGTAAACTCCTGCAATAACTACTCACATCAGCTCATTCTTATCATTAAAATTAAATGAAGAAATAAAAACAACAATAACATCAGCATAATAATTCAACTGTTCAGTCCCATTGTTTTTATGTTGAAAAATTTCCTCCTCCTCCTTTAGGTATTTATTGTCTATTCAGGGGTCAGTTGTGGCTTTGCCACAAGCCTCACAAATGGGGCAACAGGCACCTGTGCTGTCCTGGAAGCAAACTGGGAAACAGACTATTATTCAGACAATCTGCCTCCCATTTTGTTGGGGACATAACCTGGAACAGCATACGTCTTCTAGCACACCAGTGCTGGCCTGTGCACTGGAGGCAGAACCAAGGCTCTGGATAACATCAGTTCTGGATAATTGTATTACAGGAGAGCAGCCCTTCGCTTTTTAGGATTCAGCCCAACAAAAAATAGCTCAATTAGAAGGGTGCTGACAGAGTTAGGAATGGAGCTTTAGGAAGGGGGGGCAGTTCTAGCCATTGAGGTGAGTGAGTACATTCAAAGCTCCAACAGCACTCAACAAGAGCCCTCACTGGAGTTATTGAAGAGTTTCACTGGCTGACCAAAGCATCCAATCAACAGGATTTATTTCTAACTCCATTATGGGTCGGTTCTAGTCAGTGCATTTAGCAACTTTGCATTTCCTTATGTCATTCTTACCTGCATTGTTGTCTTTGCCACTCCGCTTGTCTCCATACTTTGCAAATCGGGTGTTGCCACTGGCGGAGGAGGTGCTCTGCGTTTTTTAATTTCTGGGTTGGCGGTCATTCCTGAAATGTTGCCAAGAGATAGTGATGGACCCAGCGTAATGGAACGTGAATTCACTGAAGGTGAATTTGGAGCTGTTGCAAAGCCCTGTAAGTAGATGTACAACTTGGTCACAATCACTTTTTAAACACTATGGGGAAGAAGCAGAAAAAAACAATTACACCCAATTGCCCTTAAACTGAGACAATGTTCTGAGTGATTGTGTATGACCCTCTGTCAAACTTGCCGCATTGCAAACTGTACAATATATGGATATTTTTCCAAGATCAACTGACATGTAGTAATCCCATTCAGAAAGGGGTGAAAGTTGCAACAGATGAAACTTATATTAATATTTAAAAAGAAACAGTCAACCCTGTTCAATGACAGACCTGCGGATGGCTATATTACAACATAAAAACTTCAAAAACAGACTCCAACGAGAGACTGCTGAGCTGGAATTGATATGCAAACTAGACACAATCAACTCAGGATTGAATAAGGACTGGGAATGGCTGAGCCATTACAAACATTGATTCTATCTCCCC